TTGAGCCACAGCACCACTTCCGGCTTTTTTCTTTTTGCTTATGTGGTGCTGAGGAATCGAGTCCAGGGCCTCAGGCATGCAAGGCAAGCGCTCTACCACTGAGCCACCTTCCCAGCCCCAAGCTATGCTTTTTTGGAAGATCAGAGTCTTTTTTGCATGGACTGGCTTCAAACCTGGATTCTCAGATCTCAGCTACCTCAGTTGCTGGGATTACAGGCGTGAGCCACCTGTTCCTGCCTGCTCCCAGATGGCTTATTTTTGCTAAGCAGTGCACACCTGTAGGACACACTTGTGTTCACAGACAGGTGGGGAGCCTTCTGTGGTTTCAATTTTACCTTTGTGCCAGTGAGTTTCGGTGCTGTGCAGGTGGGGCACAGATTTCCTTCAGGTCGGGGCCATGTTGGGAGGATTCCTGATCTCTGTTTCTCTATTTTTCACCTCATTCTTGGGTCTTTCTGTGAATCTGATGCAAACTATGGACTTTCTTTGCAGCACGATACATGTGCACATGAAATGTTAGGGTCAAAATTCTTTCATAGGTGTCATTTCTTCCTTTTTTCGCAGGAAATTTGTGTTCTTCAACATCCCTCAGATCCAGTATAAGAACCCCTGGGTGCAGATCATGATGTTTAAGAACATGACACCCACGCCCTTCCTGCGGTTCTATCTAGGTGAGTACGGTGCCTCTGTGTCAGCTGTGGGTGGAGGGACTGCATCCGCCCTCCTGCTGCTCTCCACTTCTGCGCTACACGTGGTGGCTGCTGAGTCTTTTCCTCCTGCAGCCTTGTCTCCAGTTGTTCCTAGCACTTGCACTGGCCCATTTCCCAGATTCCTGTCTGAGCCCCGTGGGGCTGCCTTTGCTCATTCAAGTCTCTGCTTAGTGATTTAAAAGCTCTCAAAAGGTGTGGGGGTATAGCTCAGTGGTGATGTAGGCATTGTGCAGGAGGCTCCAGGATCACAAGAACAAAGCAGAGGATTGGAGGCGTGGCTCAGGAGGTAGAGCACTAGCCAGTGAGCAAAAGCATCAGATACAAGTTTAAGTCCAGGTTTTGGACAAATGAAAGAAAAAAAGATCAAAGGGAAACATTCTTCAGCGTGGGATTAGTGCCACTTCTTCCAGGAAGTCTTCCTGCGTCCTGGTTGAGCCTGGGCTGCCCGTGCGCCTCAGCTCCATGTGCTCCCTCCATGCTGCGCATGGCCTCCAGCTGCTGGGACTCTTCCAGTTCAGTTCACCCTAGTGCAGGAAATCAGTAACCCAGATGGTGACACCCCTTTTCTCTGTTCACCTGCCTTCTGGGGGTGGAGACCGTAGTTTGGGAAGCGTGCAGGAGCCACACAGGCAAACACATCTGCCCTGTGGACATGGGTGCCCACAGGAGACTGCGGGCAAGACAGCCAGCCAGAGGCGGGAGAAGATGAGTCCTGTGCATGTCGACCATGGTCCTGGGCGAGAGAGGGTGCTTGTGGACGGTTGTGGGTCTTTGCTTGGACTGTGTGCATTGTGTGTGTGTGATGATTGGATGGAACCATGCCTGAGCATGCGACACAAGTGCTCTGCTGCTGAGCCAGGCAGCGGTGCGAGGCGGATGAGGCGGAGCCCCCAGCCTGTGCCATTTCTTCCAGGGAGGACATCAGGGCTTCTGCGGCTCCTGGAGGTCGTTCGTGTTAGCTGGGTTCAGCCCCACTCCCCCTGTCCAGAGGCAGTTCACTGTGATTTCTTTCACCATAGACGTCACCATGGAATAGCGCTTCACTTAAATGCGAGCTGCGCACCACCACCAGAGCCTCGGGAGAGCTGCTCTTTCAGCATGTACAGGGCCTAGGCTCCATCCCAGCCAAAAAAAAGTTAAGCTAGGTGCTGGTGGCTCGTTTGTAATTCCAGTCACTCAGGAGGCTGAGGTCTGAGGATTACAGTTTGAAGTCTGTCCATGAGACATCTCCAATTAACCACTGCCAACAAGCCAGAGATCCTGCCCTAATACACACACACATAGTCACTCACACCAAAAGCTATTCACACACAGTCACTCACACCAAAAGCTATTCACACACAGTCACTCACACTAAAAGCTATTCACACACATAGTCACTCACACTAAAAGCTCGTCCTTTGTTTTTGCATGTCCTTGGTTTTGTTTTTGTTTTGTTTTTGGTTCAGGTCCTGGGGCTTCAACTCAGGTCTTGGACACTGTCCGAGTTACATTTTGCTCAAGGCTAGTGCTCTGATTTGAGCCACAGCACCACTTCTAGGTTTTTCTTAGTAGTTCTTTGGAGATAAGAGTCACAGACATGGGATTGGGAAGGTGGCTCAGTGGTAGAGCGCTTGCCTTGCATGCAGGAGGCCCTTGGTTCCATTCCTCAACACCACGTAAGCAGAAAAAGCTGGAAGTGGCGCTGTGGCTCCAGTGGTAGAGCGCTCGCCTTGAGCTGAAGAGCTGAGGGACAGCGCCCAGGCCCAGAGTTCAGGCTCACGACCAACTCCCCTCCCTCCCCCAAAAAGGGGGGTCACAGACTTTCCTGCCTGGGCTGACTTCAAACTGCAATCCTCAGATGTCAGCCTCCTGAGTAGCTGGGATTACAGTGGTGAGCCACCAGTGTCCAACCTCTTCTTGAGTTCTTTACCTACGGTAGTCTAGATGCAGCTCCTTTGTCAGGGAGTGTACATATAGTGACTTCTCTCAGTCTGTGTGGCTTTTGTTTTTTGTTTTTTTTTTGTCAGTCATGGGACTTGAACTCTGGGCCTTGGTGCTGTCCCTGTGCTATTCAGCTCAAGGCTAGCGCTCTACCACTTGAGCCACAGCACCACTTCCGGTTTTCTAGTGCTTTATTGGAGATAAGAGTCTCATGGATGTTCCTGCCTGGGCTGGCTTTGAATCTCGATCCTCAGATCTCAGCCTCCTTGTGTAGCTACGATTACAGGTATGAGCCACCGGGGCCTGGCATGGCTTCTTTTTTATAGTGGTGCTAGGGATTGAGCTCTGAGCCTCCCTTAGCTTTCTTGCTCACAGCTGGAGCTCTGCCACTTGAGTCACACATCCAGTTGGGATTACAGGCAGGCATGCATACACCCACATCCTTCCTCTCCTCCCACCTTCCCCCAACAACAACCACCACACACCATGCTAGGCAGTCAGCAGTCCCAACCTGGAGGAAAAATGTGCTTTGGGTTCTCAGCTTCTTTGTGCTTCTTGTTTCCAGATTCCGGGGAGCAGGTCCTGGTGGACGTGGAGACCAAGAGTAACAAGGAGATCATGGAGCACATCAGGAAGATCCTGGGGAAGAGCGAGTGAGTTGATGAGGCTGGCCGGAGGGGGGGCTGTGCCAGGGAGGTGCAGACAGAGCTCTTCCACCTCCGGGCAGTGATCAGAGCTGTGCCAGCAGGGTCAGTTCCAGCTCACCCGAGCTCCCGTGGTGGGCGAGGCGATGAGGACTGCAAGCTCAGCTGCTGCCAGATGCTGGCCTGCTGTCAGCAGGGAAGCCCAGAAGCCGCAGTCCATCTTCCTTTCGCTGTAGGGCTGTGGGCCTGCCCTTGGGCTGCAGGAAGGCTGATGCTCAGCCTTGAGCATGTGCAGACTGTGGTCAGGACTGCAGCAAGCTTGTGCTTCCCCTTTCCCCTCAAGTGCAGAGGCCTCCCTGGCTCACTCCCTCGGAAGAGGCGAGAAGGCAAGAAATACAGACTGGCTTAGGGAGATGGACCCCAGCCCTATGCCATGTTGTTGTACCTTCCTGAGCCCTGTGCTTTTTGGCAGGGAAACGCTCAGGCAAGAAGAGCTGGAGAAGCAGCAGCGATCTCATCCGGCCAACTTCGGCCCCCCGAAGTACTGCCTGCGGAAGTGCATGTGCCAAGTGGAAGGGCAGGTGCCTTGCCCCAGCCTTGTACCCTTGCCTAAGGAGATGACAGGGAAGTACAAAGCTTCATTGAGAGCCAGTGCCCAGGATTAAAACCTCAAACTGCGAATGGGCTGGGACAGTGCATCTGCCCAGTGTAGAGGTAGAGTTGGTTACTGTGGCCCTGAAGATGCTGGCAGGCCCTTGCAGAGGCCCCTCCAGTAAAGGATATGGGAGAGAGAGGTGTGGCCATCAATAAAAGGCTTCTCTTCCCAGCTCGCTGGATCTGGTCCTGTTCAGGGTTCGGCTGGGGAGGGGCCAAGGCACAGCAGCTGACTGGCCTAGTCCTGCAACCTGCTTGTGGTCTCCACCGGCTTTGTCTTCCTCTGCCCTTTTGGGTGTTTTTAGTAATGCAAGGCAACCTCGTGCGCAGTGCCCACCTTTTTAGATGAAGCCCTGGCCCTTGATTGCTGAGGCTGTGGCCACATGTCAGAGAGTGGAGACCCGCCGCAGAGGAGCCAGCCCTGCCAGCAGGTGCAAGAGGCTTGGGGCCCTGCTTGCCAGTGCTGTCTCTGCTCCTGGGCCTGTTGAAAAGTCCCGGGAAGGAGCCCAAAGAACGAGGGGCCTTTCTCAGCTGTTGCTGCCTGTTCAGTTAGGCGGACCTGAGCCCACCTGGGTAGTGCCTGCCACGGACTGCTGGCAGCCTGGACAGGTGGGACTGAACAGGTCGGCTAGTTCTGCCCAGGCCCTTTCCTGGCTCCTCTGCACAGTACCTGCCCCAGGAAAGGCGGCCGTGGGCAGCTCTGTGCAATACTGCTCTTTAAATTGTGTAAGTGGGATCTGTAATGTGTGCGGTCTGGTTTGGGGTGATTGTTACCAGACTTAGTTTAGGTGATGGCTCCTGGTGTGTTAGAGGAGACAGGCACATGTGCTTGATGGAACTGAATTTGGCACCTTACCCCTCTGCCCTTTGCTGGAGGGTAGGTGGACAATTCCTCAGCCCCCAACCCCCTGAGCAGGGGCGTGGCTTGGTCTTGGCTCTAGGGCTCTCGTGTCCCTTCTGGCCTTTCTTCCTTGGCTGAGAGGTTGTAACCAGGCACTAAACCAAAGCATTGAGCCAGAGGCCAGTCGGCTTGGTTTCAGACTGTGGTGTGAAACAGGCTTGGGGTGCCCGCAGGAGCCCGGTGTCTGTAATGAGGGTAGTGAGGCTGCAGGAGGCTGGCCAGGATTTCCACATTAGTAGACAGAGGCCGACTCGACAATCTTCTAGGTCATTGTCCCTGTTTTGCTCAGCAGTGATGAGAGGAGGAATCTAGAAGAGATTCTGCAACGCGATACACCTAAGTTAACTTGTGTTTTGCCAAATGTTTTTGTCCTTACTTTCCTAAAGGGTCCAGTCTTGTTCATCTGAGGTGCTGCCTGGCAGTGCCATTTAAAGATACTGAACCAGCTCTGTTGTGACTTCAAGAATCCTCCCTGTAAAAGGAGCAGTCACGGGGCAGTGTGCAACCCTGACCACAGATGTCCTCAGAGGAGGACTTTGCTGTTGTGGAGGCTGAGGCTTGACCTGGGACTTGTCTCTGACTCTCTGCTCTAAGACTAGCATTCTGCCACTTGAGCCACAGGTCCACTTCCAATTTTTTTTTTGTGGGGGGAGCGGGGCACAGCCATGGGGGCCTGAACTCTGGGCCCGGGCGCTGTCCCTCAGCTCTTCAGCTCTGCTTATGTGATGCTGAGGAATGGAACCCAGGGCCTTCCCAGCCCCATTTCCAGCTTTTTTTGTGTTTTTTTTTTTGGTAGTTAGAGCTAAGAGTCTCACAGACTTTCTTACCCAGGCAGGCTTCAGTGATCCTCTGCTTTCAGCTTCCTGAGTACTTATCTGGGATTACAGGTAGACAGTGGAGGCTCAGCATCCCACTGCTCTGCTCTAGAAAGGTCTGTGTGGCACCCTTCACATTAACTTGCTCCCTGTGGATGGACGTGGAGATGGTCACTGACAAGTCCAATGCACAGAAATCACCTTGGTGGAGAACCCGCTGGAGGGCGCATGGCGGCATGGTGGACTGTCATGAGGAAAGATACTGGGTCACGCATTAGTCTTTAATACACTTTTAATAGTACAAACCTCATGTAGGTAGTAGTAAGCCACAACAGTAATGCCACAACAAAACAGCATTTAATAAAATGCATAAAGCTAATAATCATGCACTGCAGTACTCTATATACAAACACAACAATGCAAATTTCTCTTCAAGACTGAAGACACTGATTAGATATAAAACTCAGTTTAAAAAGAACATGCTAGTTTTTAAATGCCATCACGTAACAAAGCTGATTTCACATGGGGCGGAAAGCTGTGTAAAGCTACAGCTTTCAGCAGGTTTTGAACCTGGAATTAAAAGAGATAATGGCATAAATGATAGTTCTATATTATGAAGGGCAGAAAAATCTCACACCCGGATTTTCCTTTAATAGACATTTTTTTAAAGGGCTGTTAATACAGACAGAAATCCAGACTACAGGTAAAAACTACAGTTGATGCTATGAAAAATGTACAGCTCTTCGGTTATAAAACTAGTTGAACACTGATTTACAAGGTAATTGGGAAAACGGAGAGTGTAGAAAAATATTCCAGCACTTAGTTGTAGGTGGAGCAGCATTTCGGGTCCATGCCTGCTCAGGCGCCACATTGACACTGACGGTACTTCTCTAAGGAAAAGCTCTTTTCTCTGTGAAGTCTATCACCTCCGGATGTTATCCAAACCTTAACACACAGTCAGAGTCGATTGGTAAATATCGCTGAGTATTTTTTATATGTTGCATGTATAAAAGACACCAAATTCCCTGGCTTCCTGACTGATAGCATAGAGGGATATTTTAAAAATGCCTGTCTTCCTTTGGTGCTGGGTGTGGAACATGGGGCCTCATCCCTGCCGGGCAGCTGTTGTGCTACAGGAACTACTTCCAGCTTGGTCTTTGCTTGGTTTTTAAGACTGGGTCTCAGCATTCTGCCCAGGACCATGATCTGCTATTTGAGGCTTCCCATAATTGCTGGGATGTCAGGTGTTACGCAGGGCCCAGCTTCCCTCTGTGGAGATGGAGTATCTCTGACTGGCCCAGATCCGTGATCCTCCCAATCTCAGTCTCCAAAATAGCCAGGATGACAGGTGTGAGCTACCAGCGCCTAACTGCTCTGGTAATTTTTTTTTATAGGCTCTTGTTTCTTTGTCTGAGTTGGACTGTGATCCTGATTTATGTTTCCTGCTATAGCTAAGGTGACAGCTACACATCCAGCCAGAAATACCTGACATTTGTATCCCCCCCAATTATATTTTAAGCTTATGTCTGAATTATTCTTGTCATTATTCAAAGACATATCTCAAAAGAAATTTAGATGCATGAGACTGTTAATCTTGCACGTGTGTTTTAACTGGAAAGCCACTGTCAGTAGTGTGATTGTCACAGGCAGGGTCTGACAACCACAAGAAGGTAAGGCCAGGGGTACAGCAGAAACAAAGCTGGAGGCTGAGTGGCCCATGCTTATTATAGCAAGAAAAAGCAGCCTGCACATGATGTTAAGTTTTGCCGTTATCCAGGGCTTCTTTCAGCCCTGTTCCCAAGTCTCAGCCCTGTCTGAACCTAAATCCCTAGCATGGGGATTTAGATCTGGTAGATAAGGAAATTTTGGCACCTGTAGTTTTAAGGGCATATCCACATTAAAATGCAGTTTTCAGGTAAAAAATTTGCATCATAATTTACATTAGTTTGTCTAGTGGATTTCATTTACATACTTTCAGAAAGGAATAACTTAAGAGTTGTAGCTTTTATGCCACCAAGGTTAGCCACGGGCACTCAAACTTGACTGGAAGGATACCTCTTTTTACTGCTGTTAGATGGGAAGTCTATGTGGTCACAAGACAGTGCAGAGTCTTGCTGACTAAGCAGAGCAAGCATGGAGACTGCTGGGAACCGACCCCACTGACCTGGGCCTGTCTAGTTCCAGACCATACAAAGAGTTCACAGAATTGGAGAAGGCAGGCAGTGCTAGCCACTAGCTTCCTTTAGTTACCCCTTAAACTGATGCATGAAAAAGATTGAATTAGCTTTGAGTTAGGATTAACTATCTTCTAGCTTTCTGGCCCCGTGATCCAAGAGAACAGAGAAGAACTGCTCTCCTCTCAGAGTGTGCTTGTCCAGGAGTCTGACTGCCCACTGCTGGACGTGCTTGTCTCCCCTTGTTGGACCTTAGCATCCATTTCTAGTAGCAATGCTACCCATAAACATCCTTAACAACGTACATGAAGTTTGGATACGTGGCTACACGGCTGTATATATAATATACACCTATGTACATACTATATACACTGTACAGAAGATATAAACACATGTACATTCATTCAGTCATCCAGCCTGGAACTCTGGACATGCGCAATGCTGCTGTAGGGACCAGGTCTGTGCACACGAAGTGCACACTGGTGGGAGGCACATAATGAGAAGGCCCAAACCTGTGTACAAGAGACCTGACCCCCCATCTCTCACAAACCTGTGTACAAGAGACCTGACCCCCCATCTCTCACAAACCTGTGTACAAGAGA